CTCATGGTATTATTATCATTATTATTATTCATTAAAAATTCTAAATTGCTTAAATTAATTGTGCTACAATTATTTTAAAACAAATTGTATTGTATTATCAAAATGTTAGATTTAAAACGTAAGAATTTTTTAAAATATAATAAAAAATTAATAGTAAAAATTGTTGTTTTTTTTTTTTTTTTTCATTTTTAAATTTTATACTTACAAAAAGTCATTCATTAAATGGACTTCATTAAATTCATCTAAATATTAAACTTTAATAATTGAGTCGAAATCAAATTTTGTTAGAATCAGACTCATTTATAATTTTAATACTTGTATTTTTTTAAATTATTAAAAAGGATTAATAATATCTATTTAATGATTTTTTATTTATATATATATATTTAATATATTTACACGAATATAAAAGAATAAATGTTTTAAAAACATTACATGGTTCCAGAACCAGCATAACGATTTCCCGGATTTCCTGCAGGGGTACCACCATACATTAATCTGCTATTATTACCACTTCCCTGACCCAAATAAACGCTCTATAAAAATATAATTGAACCCGTAAAAATGAGAGAGAGGGAGAGAAAAAATAAATAAATAAAAAAAAAAGTTAGTAATAATTAATTATAACTTACATGAGACTGATGAGGTGCTCTAACTGGAAACCCTGTAGTTATTCCACCTGGTTTTCCAGGTTGAGGAGGATGAACAGGAATTGATAATGGTGCAGTTGGACCTCTCAGATAAATTTTATCACTCTCTGGTTTACTATCATAAGCTAAATGAAATGAAAAATTTATTATTGTTCGAAATATAGAAAAATTTGATAAAAATAAAATTTTTAATGCTTAATGGTACTTACACTGCCTGGGTAAGTATACTTGTTCATAAGGAGTAGGTGCTGCAGAATATGAATAAACAGATTGAGTGGGTGCAACTCCATAAACTCCTCCATAAGTTGCAGCTGTGCCTTCTGTAATAAAAAAAAAAAAAAAAAAATTTAAACAACTTGAAAATTATACGAATTTCAAATTCTTTAGGTTTGATCTTACTATTCCATAAAACGGCACGAACATATTCATGCCCTCTTCTTCCATCTTCAGGTTTATGTTGAAATCCTGGTGATGATTTATAACTATAAGGATGGTATCCAGGTCCTTGAGAAGCAGGAGGCGATGGACTTCTAGCCCTTTTTGAAGGAACTGGAGGACCTGTATTGGTAGGAGCACCTGCACCGACTTTGTATAGAGGTGTTCTACCGGGAAGAGGCTGTAAAAATATTCCAGGGGGTGCAAGATTACCATATGTTCCTCCCACTCCAATCATTTCACTGAAAATAATTAAATTTTATATAAAAATTGTTTTTAACTAAATATTTTGTTAAAAACTTTTAAATTTCATATATAGATATACTCATAGAAAAATTATTACTTTGCCGATTCTTTCACCACTGCTTGTCGTCTTCTATTGTCATCCTCATTTAAAACCTTTTTAAGCTGCAAAAAAAGTTGATGTTTCTCTTCAGTTAATGCTGCCAGCCTGGCTTCAAGAGTGCTAATTTGTTCTCTTGTTTCACCCAATGTCATCACATCTTGTTTTTGCTTCTGCTCTCTTTCTCTTTTTTGTCTTTGTACCTCAGCATCTGCTTCTTGTTCTACAAAAAAAAAAAAATTATTTGAACAAAATAATATAAATAATTTAAAACTCTTTGATTTAAATGATATATATAAAAATTTTAACCTTACCTTGTTTTTTTCTCTGTCTTTCCTTAATAATATGATTTTTTAAAGCTTGCCATTCAGCTTCTGAACACTGTCTTCCTGGCACTGTGGCTGGCATCATGGCCTTTTCAATACACATTGGGAATGAATTTTTTTTTTTTTTTTTGATTACTTAAAATTCAAAAAAAAATAATTACAGTAAAACTGTAGTAAAATGGTTTAAAAGCATTTATAGCTTTTGTCCTTAAAATTTATTTTATCTATAAAAAAAAAAAAATAAATAATTTATTAATATATTTTTAAAAAGTGACAGATTTCATAAAATTGAAAAAAAAATTTTATATATATATAAATATATTATTTTTACCATTATTTTTTAATATTTAGTATTTGCATACTTTATTATTTTTTTAATAAATAAATATATAAATAAAAAAAACATAAAAATGTTTTTTTTTTTTTTTTTTTAAATGTAATTAATTATTTTTATGCTAAAACATTTAGGATTCACACATAAAGAAAACAAAAATGTCGCGTAATAATAAATCCGTTAAGTTGGCAGCAATTGTAGTAAATGGCGTAAGATTGTATTTGTATATTTGTTGTCGTTAAACTTAAGTTAAAGAATTATCTAAAATTTACATTTAAATTTGTTAAAAATAACATTAGTATGGATAATTATTATAATAAACTTATGTTTTATAAATTCTATTTTCAATTTGTACGAATAATTCTATAATAAAGTGTTTACTTATGTTTATTAGCTTTCCTGATGCTACAGAGGTAAAGTTTACAGTAATTTGTTGTATTTATTTTTATTTATATCCAGGTTTTTGAAAATGCTTTGTACACAGTTAGTATTTTATGAGTACTCGTTCCTTATTTAATAATTTTTTTTTTTATTTACCCAGTATAATGCACATAATCTCTGAAAAATTTAAAAGTACGCTAATACAATTATAAACAAAAGAGACATCAAAAGATTTACGTTGTTTTTATAATAATAAAGTTGTATTTAACCTATCGAAATATTTTTTTCCTTCTATTACATTGTGTTTTGTAACGTATATCGAAAGAGTTTTTACTTAAGTCGTCTGAAATGTAAAGAAAATTTTTATAATTGATAATTTATTCAAAATGTAATTTTTAATAAAATTTAAACTGTAGTCAGAGTTACAATTTTATTTCCTTACAATAATTGCCATATATTCAAATGAATCTTACACAAATGTCTTGTTGCAGATCAATTCTTCTACAGAAAGGCATCAAATTAATATTGCATCATTAATGCTTTAAATTAAAAACTTGTTTTAATTATGGTCAGATTTTTTACTGAAGACAATTTGTACAATACACATTTATTAAAAATGAATTCCGAGACACCTGATAAAAATTTAGAGTGCAATGGAGATGTGATTTTTGATCCTTCAGCAGAAATGATGATACATGATTATGATGATGAAAGAACAATAGAAGAAGAAGAAGCATTGGAAAATAATGAAGATCCTCAAATAGAATTATCAAATTTACAAAGAGAAGGTGAAATGCCGTTAAGTGAACTTTTGGCTATGTATGGCTATAATGAAAATGATAATAGTAGATCTGGTGAATCTGTTTCAAGCTGTGATGTTCAAGATAAAACAGAACATATTGATCCCCTTAAAAATGACAAAGAAAATAATGCCCCTCCTGAAGAAAATCAAGAAGCTGAAGCTGTTGATGAAGAGCCTTCGGAACTAGTCAAGCTATATACGGACATTCCAGATACGGAAATTGTCGATGATACAGGAGGGACTGGTCGTTTATTAAGATCAGTGTCTAGACCACAAAGTGAAGAGGAAGATGACGATTGTGATTACAGTCCAGATGAAGAAGAGTGGAAAAAAACGATAATGGTCGGTTCCGATTATCAAGCTAGAATACCTGTAGGCATGTGTAAATATGACGATGCTCTACCTTATGAAAATGATGATAAAATGCTTTGGGATCCTTCGGCTTTAACAGAAAAACAAACGGAAGAATTTCTAGCCAAAGCTCATGAATCGTTATTAAATAATTCCCAAGTTAATTTAGAAACTCATGTAAAAGATGATGAACAAGCATTGTATTTATTACTACAGTGTGGGTATAACGTGGAAGAAGCTTTAAGGAGAAGAAGATTAAATGCCATACCTCCACCTGACACTATGAGTATATGGTCAGAAGAAGAATGTCGAAATTTTGAAATAGGCATGAGAATTTATGGTAAAGATTTTCATGCTATACAAAAAAACAAAGTTAAAACGCGTTCAGTTGGAGAACTTGTTCAATTTTATTATCTGTGGAAAAAAACCGAACGTCACGATGTGTATGCATATAAATCTAGATTGGAAAAAAAGAAATATTCTCTTCATCCGGGTATAACGGATTACATGGATCGATTCCTGGAGGAACAAGAGGTTGGTTCCGGGCATCAAGACAGGAGAAGCTCATCTCCTAATTTACATCTTCTCCTGTATTCAGATTCGAAAAAAAACTCCAGGTTAGATGAAGGTGAGAGAGCTTCACCCAAAGTAGACTCATTAAGTTATCTCGGACACTTTGGTAAGGAAAATTTTAAAAGCATTGTTAAAGTGAATACATCTTCAGAGTTACCCATTGTAACTGTAGAAGAGAAAACTAAAAACGTTGACAATTCAGTCAGTCAAAATTCTACCCCATTAGTTATAACCCTTGATGAAGAAGAATTTTCCAATATGAAAAAAGAGTGATGTAATAATATTTAATCGTCTTTATTTTGTTTTTCATAACGAGCCTTTACTCAATGACAAAAATGAGTGACAATTAAAATCTAACCATAATAAAATTCTTATATTAAAAACTGTATATTATCTGCAAATGATGTGGAAAAATTTTTGCAAACTGTAAAAAAATTTAATTTAATTAACTAAAATGTTTTAAAATAAATGTTTATCGATGAAGGGAATCATTATTGAATTGTTTGAAAAAGTAAGATAGTTTAAATTAATAATCTGTTACTGATATTTAAATATTTTAAAATAATAATAATAATAATAATAATCAAATTTGAATCTATATATATATATTCATAAGCCACTTTTATTTGATTATATGTAAATAATTATGTAAATAATATTAATAATAATATAGAATCTGATTAGATTCGAATAATGTTTTAATTATAATGATTATTATTATCATTATTATTATAATTTTAAATGACAATTTAGTATGTGTTAGTAATTTTTTTTTTAAACAAAGTTGTTAAATTTAATAATAATAATAATAATAAATTTTTTTTGGTAATGTAGTTTTAAATCATATGAAATATGTTTTCGACAAAAAAAAATAAAATAAAATTTTGTAATTAGTATTATTATTATTATTATTATTATTAAAAAATTAATTAAAACATTTTGAATCTCAGTAAAATTATAATAAATTATTATAAATTTTAATTTATTTTAAATTTATTATTATTATCATTTTTTTACTTTTGTATTATTTTTAACTAATATTTATTTTAAGGGCATTAAAATTTTAAATTGGAATAATAATAATTTTTCAATTTGTTTGAAAGAAAAAAAAGAAAACTTAATAACCGATCAAAAAGTCTCGGAATCAACGAACATATTTTTCTTACTAAAAAATCTTAAAAAAGTTTAAATATTGGAGAGTTAAAAAAACCGTTAGAATTTCAAAATGCAAGAGAAAAACTTTTAATGTAAGAATCACGTTTTTTCACGATAGAAAATAGAAAAAGGAAAAACGATTTGAATAACAACGTTTCGAATTCAAAATGTAATAAAAAAAAAACGAGATTTAATGAAAAAGTTTAAAATATTATTCGTTTATTACCTTAAAATGTAAATGACGAGTAACCAACAACGATTCTAACACGTCCGCCATATTTGACCGTTAAAAACAAAATAGTTCGTTATGCAATAGCAAATTTTATTTTTCTTTATTCATTTCGCGGGTTTTTTTTTTTAAATGAAAACTTATGGAAAACAGTGTATGTTTATATCACTCAGGAATTAAAATGTTTTTTATTCATTATAAATATATTTATATATATATGTACACAACAAATACATGTAATTATAAATTTTATAAAAAATAATTAATCTATTAATATAATGGCACCATTTAAAATAAAATAAAAATTAATTACAATTTATGTATTATAATTGGTTATGTTAACTATTGTAAATGACTAGAAAACTTTATTTGAATTCAAATTTTAATTGTTAATATTATTATTATTATTATTATTAGTACAAAATATTTACTTTAAAGTATTAATTTTATATTTTTAAGCATTTTAAACTTTTTTCTCTTTTTTTTTTTTTTTAACTTGAAAAAAATTCTCATTTGCACTTATAAGTTATCTTATTAAATGTAAAAATAAAAATAATTTATTTATAATCAAGTTTTACTTTTATTAAATTCTAATAATAATAATAATAATAATAATAATAAATTTTATGTAAATTTATTAATTTAAAAAAAATGTAATAAAAAAAAATAGTTTTCGTTAAGAATATATATCTTCTGATTAATTTTAAATCTTTTTTTTTATTATTATTATTATCATTTCTTTCCAACAAGTTTCGATTTTTACTTAATAATTTATCAATTATGGTATGTTTGAATTAACTCGTAAGCAACATTTACTCGGAAGTGCTTGCCAATCGTAATTATATGACATTCTCGTTTTAAATTCTCTTTGACACAAATGACCAGTATTTTTTAAATTATTGTGAAAATTTCTCATGGCTGTCTCAGAATGTTTATGAGTGACTAAATAAGATTGATGACAACCACGAGAAATATATTCAGTATCGAACCTTGTATCGTGAACTCTATTCAAATTGTTATAACTACTTAACCAAGCACCGACAGACACATCTTCATTTCTATATTTTTTTAAAAATTTCTCATTTGTCGCTATGAATGATACCAAAGACTCTGATAAAATATAACCGCCCCCCAAAGCATATGGTATGTAATAATCACAAATGTTCCACTCTTCCTCTTTGTACTTTCCCCCTTTTTTAACTTTTGCTCTACCATCGAAAAATCCCCAGTATAAATTTCTACCTTTGTCTCCAGAATAAACTGTTTTAAGTTCGTTGATGACTTCTCTCACACGAACAAAAGTGTCATCATCACATTTTAAAACAAACTTAAATCTATTAAATGGCCTGAGAGTATTCGATTTTCCTTCTTCGCCTAAAACGGTGGAGTTAGTTAACCAACCGAACGATGCCACCAATTTCGATGTGAGAAGATAAAATGAATCTTTCAACTTGTGAAAAATTAATAGGTCTTTGTGTTTTTCTCGTTCCACAGAAATGAGTAAATTTTCATCGTCTTTCGCACTTTCACTACTTATAACAAAATAATGTTTTAAATCTTTATGCGTAGACAATTCTGATAGCCATGTTTCTCTAATCGTTTGTCTTTTATTATAATTACCGATACTTGAAAAAACGAAAACGACCAAAAACACTTCTGCATTTGCATAATCACTAATGTAATGTGATAAATTATAATTCAAGCTTTTCAAATTATTTTTTTTTGATAGTAAAAGAAAATGAAAAAAAAAACCAAATAAAAACGATATGAGAGAAATGTATATTTTCGATTTAAATGAAAATAAAATTGTTCTTTTTAATATCCGAATCCAATTTACTTGTTGTAGTTTAGCCAAACTCACAAACATTTCATCTATTTATTGAAGCCTAATAAAAAAAATTTTAAATATTTTTACTTCCAATTAAACTAAAAATAGTGAGTGCTTATAACGGTTCTTTAGATTTAACATTATCAAAAAAAAAAAAAAAAATGTTATGCCACAAAAAGTACCTAATTTAGGCAAATTATAACCGTCACTGATTAAAAACATTCAACAAATCAACTTCATAATGTTGACCGGCTTTTCCTAAATTATTTACATATAATCAAATTTGAATAGTAAAAAACTTTAAAAAAATTGAAAAATTTAAATAAAAATAGAAATAAATAAAAAAATTACTATTTAATGGATTTTATTATCTTAACTTATTGCAATAACAACAGAACCTATAATTTGAATGGTAAACAACAAAAAAGCACGAACACAATTAACAACATGGATAATAAATACTACCGTAATTATTGAAACGTTTTTCCAGACAAATGTGCAAAAAGATTGATAATTAAAAATGTTAAAAAATACCGCAAACAACCAGTAATTATTCATTTATGATCGAATTAAACGTGCTTTATTAGAGACATTTTTGTTAAAAGCGATAAAGCAGTTTAAAAATGGCGGACGGTATTTAGAATAAAATTCGCATGTTTCGCGCTCTGCCCAAAAATATTTCAAAAAATATTTTTAATAATTTTTTTCCTAACAGTTTCACACGATTAAATTATATTCGTAAAACGATGGATAGTTTAAATTTTGTACAAAGTGTAAATCCCATTAATAAACAAGTTGAATGGCTTGTGGTTGGTGATGATTATGATTACCACCAAGAAATAGCCGTATCTTGTTATGGAGATATGCTTCACGATGACGAAAGGGTGAGTTAATTATAATTTTCCTGGATTTTTTTTTTTTGTTAAAAGTCTCATGATTACATTGAATCGTTAGTTAAATCCTGACAAAATAGTTTTATCACTTTTACCTTATTCAATTTTC